AAAACCCATAAAATTTTGTTTCGAAAATAAAACAAAACATTTTCGTACAATAATAAAACATTCGTTGAAACATATTACAAAAATTGTAACTTTAAATTATTCCAGAGCATTTTTGAAGTTCATATACATGTCATCTAATTATCAAAAAGAAACATAATTGTCATACAATTACTGATGAGTCAACCTTGGATTGATGATCTCTGCCGCACTCCTTACTCTGCTAGTCTTTGCTTTTACCTATGCATGAAATTAAAACACGCAAAGTGTTTACTTAGTGAGGCATAAAAATATAAATGAACTGAACTTCATACATAAGCATATCATGGCTATTGAAATACGAACTAAATCGTATACTTCATAAAAATCATTTAACCATCTCCGTTAGACCAAGTTTCTTTCATATAGCCATCGAGAATATTCTTAGTATAACAAGCATACCTATTTTTCTTTATATTTTTCCCAATTATCTTTTTTTTGCCCAATGTATGTCAAATGATAAATGTAAAATACATGCACTATTAATAGTGCAATTTCATGAAGCACTTAGGTCAGGTCACTTTCACATTAGGAGTTAAAATTTATATAGACAGATGGGGACAACTACTCAGACTAAGTCAAAGTACATATATCAAAAAAATCCTGAAATAAACTAACATGAGTATGACGAGATAGTGTTGGATTTATCATATGTATTTTTGTATGACGAACCAAGTAGATCTTGGTGAATGTGACTGGTTCGACGTTAAGAATATGCTTTAAGTACTAAATAAAATTTAAAAATATATTCTTAATATATGAGATAACAAAAAGAAATTATTTGGATCAAGAAGTTCAACATTGATCCAGAGCTTATGCCTAGCATATCATATGCGATAAAATTTTATTGTGATAAGAAAGAAATCTTAGTAGAAGTTAAAGAATATATATTGCCAATGATCTAAACATGTATGTAAGTGTTATTATCTTATTAAAGAGATAATCATCCATAGAGGGATTTAGAAATATTGATTTACTAATAAAGTCTTGGGTAAATAATATCAATCTTCACTGAACTTTACTTTCTCTTTTATTCCATTCATTGTACTTTAAGTCCGTTCAATTTTCTCACTGAACTTAATACATTTGATTTTTTTTGGTCACTCCATCGCTTTCTCACTAACATCGTTACAAATTGTATGTTATATAGATGCAAAACGAAGTCGTTTTGGTGAAAATTTCAATTTTTTCTAAAACGATGTCCTTTTAATGGCGGAGTGACAAAAAAATATATTAAGTTCAGTGAGAAAATTAAACAGATTTATTGTATAATGAGTGAAATAGGAAAGAGAGTAAAGTTTAATGATGGTTGGTATAATTTACCCTAAAACCTTTGACATAGAATAAGCATAATTATTGCACTAGCTCTGTCGCACCACAAAAAAGGATAGTCGCCAGATATACATAATTCTAGTGAAGTGATTGGAAAGCTTACCGAGAGATAACCTATTATTATATTTGAAAATAATTATTATCTTAAGATAAGTGTTATTTCTTGAAGATTCGGGTTCGAGTACCATAGATGTTAGAGGTGAAATCGTTCAATGTCGAAATGTTAAAAGTTGTCTATGAACAAATTCTTTTTTATACTTATACATATTAATAAAAAAAATTAACTTCTTTGATCGGGGAATAAATAGCAAAGCGGGTAAAATTGATATTTTTTGTAAAATATCTATACCAATTTTTAAAGAAAGAAAATTTAGAGTCTTGCTCTCACATTGATGGTTTACGTGGTTAGATGCCCCGTCTTCATTTTTATTTCAGAAAATCTCTCAACTTTTTCACAACTGGAACACCTAACTTGTAGAGAAAACACCAAAAAGCTCTTCAATTTTATCAAATTTTCTATAACACCATCAACTCGATTTATTTTAAAAAATTGAAATAAATTCGATTAGATGATAGAGTTTAACAACTCATGAAAAAAATAGAACTAAAAAGATAATATTTGAGAGAGATATGTCTATCTTCCTTTCCTAATGATCTCATAGATAATAGTGATCACATTCATTCCAAATAGGAGAATAAAAAGAGTTTAAATTATGGATTACACCTTTTTGACTTATCCTAATATTATTGCAAAATAGAGATAGAGTTCTAATGGAATTAAAAATATCATTAATTTTTTTAGTATCTAAACTTCATCAAAACCTTCAATTTTAGTTACATCAAACACATACTGTGACCTGTAAAATATAATATCTAACAAAAGATAGACTTATAGATAATTTAGGTCACTAAAACATATGAGGATTAATACGAAATTTATGACTTATCGAAGTATCTCTTGGTGTGCGTATGTTTGAATTTTGATTTGATGAATGGTTGTCGGTTTGATTTTGTTCTATTTCGAATAAAGCTAAGTTTCGATTGGTCAATATGATATCTTTTATCTTGTTTATGATTAGATCGATTAGGGAAACGTTACATGTAATGAAGATGAGAAAATCATGATTCATGACAATAGTAAAACAATTGTTGTCTAGGTTGAAGGAGAGCTAACTGATGGTGAGGAGAATTCGGGGTTGAGCGAGACCCGAATAGGAGTTAAAGTTACATACAACAACAACAACAACAAAACCCTATTCTCATATGCAATGGAGTAAGGGAGAGGTAGGGTAGTAGGCTGCCCCCAACGCCAGGTTGAGAGCAGCTTCCGTGGAAGACCTCCGGCAGTTAGAAAATTAAAAATAAAGATAAAATGCAATGCATGTATAAATAAATAAATAAATAAATACATAGTTGAACAATCCTCATATGCATCATTCATATGCGCGTCTGTAATGGGTAGTAATCCCTGCAAATAAATCCCTGTGAAAAATCTATGCATATAGACAGAAACGTAAGACCCGAATAAATAAATAAATTACTACAGAGGCATTAAAAAGTACTCAGAGATGTTACACCCTATGGTTGTGACCCACACTACTCGGCTACCCTGGTCTTAAGTCTCCATACTTTTCTATCAGAGGTCATGTCCTCGGTAAGGGATAAATCCTTCAAATCAGATCTCAAGCAGTCTTCCCACTTCCGCCTTGGTCGTCCTCTCCTTTTGGCACCGTCGGCTGTAATCGACTCTAACCTCCTGACTACATCAAACGGTTGTCGCCTAAGGACATGCCCAAACCACCGTAGTCTTCCCTCCCTCAATTTTTCGGATACAGGCACCACCCCTAAGGACATCCTAATAGAAGAGTTTGGTGTCATATCCCACAGAGTCCTACCACATGCCCATCAAAGCATTCTCATTTATGCGTCATCCATCCTCCTTACGTGATCCTTCTTGATTACCCAACATTCTGATCCATACAGCAGCGTTGGTCTTATTGTCATTCTGTAAAATTTTCCCTTAAGTTTTAGAGACACCTTCTTGTTACAGTAAACTCCAGTAGAAGCCCTCCACTTTAGCCATCCCGCCTTTATACGATGTGTAACGTCATCATCTACACCCCATCTTTATGTATCATAGACCCTAGGTACTTGAAACAGTCCTTTGAGGGGAGAACGTGTCTTTCTATGCATACTTCTGCGTCTTCATCGTTTTGGTTCCCACTGAAGTTTGAACATAAATACTTTGTCTTTTCAATATTGATCCTTATACCTTTTTCTTCCAAAGCAGTCTTCTAGGTAGTCAGTCTACTATTCAGCTCAGTTTTTGTTTCAGCAACTAGGACAATGTCGTCAGCGAAAAGCATACACCATGGAACACCGTCTGGTATCGCACAATAGAAGTTGTCCATAATCAAGGCGAAGATGTAAGGGCTAAGATCCGACCCCTGGAAGAGTCTGATTTCCACCGAGAATGCCTCGGTGTCGCCAACTGTAGTCCTGACGTATGTAGTAGATCTACAGTACATATGACGAACTCCCCGGATATAAGCAGTTGGGAACCGTCTCGTTTCCAAGGTCTTCTAGATCGTATTGCGGGGAACGCTATTATACGTCTTCTCAATGTCAATGAACGCCATGTGAATATCCCTATTTTTTCCCTATATTTCTCCATAAGCCGTCGAAGTAGATGAATCGCCTCCGTAGTAGACCTGCCTAGCATAAAGCCAAATTGGTTTTCCGAAACCCTAGTAACCTGTCTAAACCTATCCTCTATTACCCTTTCCCATAGCTTCATGGTATGGCTGAGTAGTTTAATACCTATGTAGTTACCACATCGTTGGGGATCTCCTTTATTCTTATAGATTGGTATCACCATAGACTCTCTCCACTCTTCTGGCATCATGGCAGTCTTTAAAATAATATTAAAGAAGTTGGTCAACCACTTAACTCCCTCTTCTCCTAGGGTCAACCACACAGTGATAGGAATTTGATATGGACCGACAGCTTTGTCCCTCCCCATCTTTCTAAAAGCCATTTTGACTTCCTCGAACCCAATTCTACTTGAAGGGCACTCATTGGCCGTGGTATGATGGTCGGCTGACCCATCAACGGTACTATATTTACCAGGAGAGGCACCGTCATTAAATAAGCCAAAGAAGTAACTACCCCAAACCCTCTTAATATCATTATCGTTCACTTCATGATCTCCTCTATTAACCCTTTAGTTGGGGACTAAAGTAGTGTAATTTTGAAATGTGTGGGTATATTTTCAAAATTAGGGAAAAATAAAATTAAATATAAAATTTGAGGGCTAAATGTATTACTATGTCAATTTATTAAATGTGACGTCATTTACTACTAAAATTTCAACTGGAGTAGAGCAATTTGTAGTTTTTTCTAAGTTAGGTAGTAATATTTGATAACTTTTTATAGTTGAAGGAGTTAAAAGAAAACATACTATAGTCGGAGGACTATATGCATATTTTACTCAAAATTGAATTTGCAAAGCAAATACGTAAGCACATAATAATAACGAATAAAATAAAATAAAAAGAAAGCAAATTAGGTACATTGAACCTGGACATTTTTGGTTGGAGTATAGTTGGCCTATAAAAGAACGAACATCACCACATTGGCTGAACCAGAAGAGCGGTTTACAATATTCATATTCTCCACCAATCAAATAATAAACACAAAAAGCAAGCAAATGGCCCCAACAATGGCGGTGGCAGCAAAGAGGAACGAGGAAGAAGAGTTAAGGAAGAGAAACCAGGAGTTAGAGAAGGAATTAAGGGAGAGCAGGGAAAGAGAGGAGCAGATGAGGATGGAGCTGCGGAAGGTATGGAAAAGGCTGAGAGTGGCGGAAGAGGGGGAGGAGCGGCTGTGTTCGCAGCTGGGGGAGCTGGAAGCAGAGTCCGTTTATGAGGCTCGTGATTACAACGCCCGCATAGTTTCCCTCATGGATAAGCTGTCCAAGGCTAACAACGTTGTCGTCAACAACCACCGTCCATCGGCGCCCATCTCCATCCTCTGATTTCAATTGTTTTATATTAGATCAAGTATAACCACCGGAGGTGGTGTTTAATTTACTGTTCGGCGGTTCTTACATGCATACAAACATTATTATGATGTATTTTTTTATTAATACAATATTATTATAATAGAATTTCTGGTCAAAATATTTCTAAGTGATCTCCCTATTGGAACAAGACTCCGTTGCTGCTCTTTTATTGCAATAGTTTTGTAGCTCCCACTTTTCAATTCAAAAAAAAAAAATTTCAAGTATTTGATACTACACAATTTATAAATATAATTATTTGGATTTAAAATTTTAAAAAATAATATTTAATTTTATTATTGATACCATTTAATGAATTCAAGTGTATAATATTATGAATATTTTTTGAAAAGGAAAGTAATAACTATATGGGAAGAAGAACTTAGAAATGTGAAGATTATTAGGCTGGTAAAAGTATATGAATGTTTTTAGACTAAACAACGTATTTAGTACCTAAATTATCAATTTTAGTTCATTTTAATATCTAAATTTTTATTTTTATCAAAACTATACTTAATATTTAGTTTTTGTTTCATTTTAATACTCATATTAAATTTAACATTAAATTTTGAAAAGGTATGGAAAGTTTAGGTACTAAAATATATCAAATTGATAGTTTGGATACTAAACGCGTTAAGTTTTTAACAACATGGTATTAAAATGAAAAAAATTAAATGTTAGGTATGATTTAAAAAAATAATTTAGGTACTAAAACATATCAAAAACTGAGTTTAGGTACTAAATATGTAATTTACCTATGTTTTTAATAAATTTATTAAGATGTATTGAATATTTTATTTAAATTTTTATTCTTATAATGATATTATATGTATCAAATAAGATTATGAAAATTGGGTAGGGATTACCTATTAGATCATTAAAACTCAACAACTATGCCAACAACCAGCTGTTCTAGTGGGATACGCACTAGATTCCTTAAGCAAGGTCAGAGATTTGAATTATGGTGATTGTGAATGGAGCAAATCTATTTACACATTAGTTTGAACCACACTTTTGTAGAAAGTTTGTGTCTTACCTTTAGAGACATATGAAAGATTTTATGTTAATAATTAAATTTTTAAAAATAAATAAAAATTTTAAAAAATAAAAAAATTAAAAATTTAATAAAAATATATTTAAATATATACAATAATTTTAAATTTTTTTAAAAAGACGAATATCTCATATGTCTCATGCATCCTTTCTCACGCACTACAGTAAAACAGGCTTTTTGTGGCGTTGTTTTACCTTTAGCGGCGTTTATAAGAGTCGCTAAAAACACATTCGGCGTTAAGACAAACGCCGCAGTAGGAATTGATATTTAGCGGCGTTTGTCATAAAAACGCCGCAATAGGTGTTAATATTTAGTAGCGTTTTTCAGACAAACGCCACAAGAGGTTATGATGTTTAGCGGCGTTTTCGCTAAAACGCCGCCGTAGGTGTTGATGTTTTGCGGCGTTTCTGATAAAAACGCCGGTACAAGTCTGTATATAGCGGCGTTTCTAGGATAAAAACGCCGCTAAATGTATGGTATATTGTAGCGTTTATTTTACAAACGCCACTAAATAACACATAATTTAACAATCATAAAAATTATGCTTGATTACCCCAAAACTATTTTTTCAACATGTTCCATTATCCAACAAACAAAACAATAATAATATCAAACTCTATATCCATAACAAACAACATTAAATCTAATCTAATAAATAAATGTTTTCATTAACGTAATATAAGTTCAGTTACAGAAGGTTCAGTATAATGCTCATAACATAAATGAGACTACGATGATGGATTCTGAGGTTGCGTTTTCTGAATCATCAGCATCATATCATTGAGTCGTTTTTCAAATTCTTCACATCTGTTCTGATATGCTGCTTCTCTCTGTGTTGCCGCTGCTTCTCTCTGTGCTGCCGCTGCTTCTTTCTCTGCTTCTGCTGCTGCTCTGGCTGCTTCTGCTGCTGCTCTCTGTGCTTCCCTTGCTTCATTTTCCGCTTTCAAGTTAGCCATTTGTTGATCCATCTCAGCCAACTTTTCTTTTAAACGACAAACTTCTTGGTGGGAAGATCGAGACTGTGATGGCATGTACTGTGATGAACTGGATCAAAAATATTTGGTAGGAGTAACGAATGATCCTTGACAGCGCACCCGACCATATCTTTCAGGACCCAGAACGTCATTAATAGCTTGGTTTTCAATGTCATCATCATTAACAATACCTTGACTCGAAGCAGTAACATGATACTCCACCTTTTTCTCCCTCAATTTTTCCTAATAAAGTGAATAATTAATTAAAATAAAAAATGTCATGGTACAAATATAAATAAAGTCAGATAAATTTAAAATATCTACCCAAAAAACGTACCATAATTTCTGCAGCGTCAGCAGTCATAGGAGTGTCATCCTTCTTCGTATGTGTCATGTCGAAGAGTTGGATTCGACCAACTTTAGAACCGGATTGTACCATAATATAATTACTATGAGTTAGTATGTACATGGAATACAAAAAAACTATTTCAATAATCTATAATACCTCTTCATGAGCTATACAAGCAAAACTCTTCGATCCAGCCGTGTGCGTAAACTTTTATTGTTGCCTGCTAGCAACACCAATATACAATGTCAAACAACCACTTTTAATAACGATTTACAATTCGTTACAATTATTTCTGAAAAATACATCATACCTGTCCTTTTTGTGAACTCCAAAATCTGACTGCATCTTCCCATTGGTACCTGAGCATTCCTGGTGGGACTGTTTGCAACTTCTCTTCAAGGCTGAGATCATTCTTGAAGTATTTCTTCTTTAAGGAGCTCTTGTTTAGTCAACATTATCAATAAACTCAATAATCAATATTCCTGATAGATATGAAGTTTAGCCAAAAAAAAAAAAGGATGAATCATTTTATATTCATATTCCATCATATAGTAGCCATACCGTCATGCATTCAGGCAAACCATTATCTTTGGTTCTCCTTAGCAAATTTCACTCCATAACTGTAACTCATTTTCAAGTTCCCCATAGTTGTATAGGTTCATGGAAATAAAAGAACTATCTCAATTGTCACCTGTTGTAGGGCTGATTTTCTTCTAATTTGGTGGCCAGTGTAAGACAGGCTACTCCAACGATCTGAAGGATCCTTTCAGTTTTGAAGAATCCTATGCTTAGGAATCTATCAAGCAAACTAACTCCAATGAATATTTTCTCCTGCTGAAACTCCTTTGCAGCGCTTTGTTGCTTTCATAATCAGAAAACTAAATCAATCACCTTGGACAACATATATATTACCACGAAACGAATAAAGAAAAAGTTGGTACACGCCAACTAATAACACAAACAACAATTTGTGATCATTGCTATTGTCAGGAACGTAAAAGATAAAAGTAATAAAATCATAAAATTTTAGGAATGTAAAATTAAATAATCAATAGAAATATATTTTTCAAACATACACCGCACCCAACACCCTAGCTCTATCCCTAGCTATTTCAATTCATGTACAGACCGGGGAAAGGGAACAGCAGCATTAAGGTAATTCTTGTATGCATTTGAGGTTTTCAATTCATGCACTAGATTTGAGTTTCATATCTTCTTTCAGTTGGCTCATTATAACAAAGTTCACATTATCCTTTAGTTTAGAATTGAAGCTGACATGACATAGTCTATTCAACTTTATTTAGTCTCTGGCGTCAACACCAACTAGCATCAATAACACACACACTAGGAATACTAAAATGAGGAAGTAGACATGTCTATATGCATATGTGCATATCAATAGGCCAGACAAATAAATTGAAACACCATAAAATTGAAACACCGTAAAAGTAGGTAGCATACCTTGATCGTTGCAACAAGGCCCAACCTGAAACATAAACTTATCCAAATAAGTTACAATTCATACAAAATTATTACCTCACAAGCATAGAACTTCACTTCATAGAGTAAAGGAAGCGCACCAAAAAATATGCAAATCTTTACACCTAAAGGAAACAAAATAGTTCCTTATAAGAACAAGAATGTAATCCGATATCTATCGAGCGTGCTTTCAAAAGAGACGAAGAACAAGAAAAACATGGGAGAAAATGAGCTTATTTGTCATAAGATGATGTATCCAAGTGTTGTATTTACGTGTCATTCGATCAGATGAGACGGAAGTCAGCACATTAGTTGTCTGTCATGAAGGTACATCGAGTTACAACCCAAAGCATTTGGCATTTCAAGATCTCAAAGTTAAACTTGGAACGACCCCATTTATCATTTTTCTTGGTAGAAATATTGTTATCTGGGTTTTCAATTGAAGAACTAAATGATGTTTCAAATAAGTGAGCATTGTCTCTTTAAGTGTGCTTGTATTTTTATAACCTTCCTATGAGATGCATGGACTGTATTTCCAATGGGGTACTGGATGTATATTTATTTTTAGAGCAACCACAATAGATAAACATATTAGCTCCGATAACATGACCTGTGTCAACAAACACAATTGTGTAATTTAAAGTAAGAGTTCAATCACTACATCTCATGCGAATTGCAGGTAAGTTTGAATGTCATATACATATACATGCTATGCAGTATCCATCTTTCAAAAAGTATGTCTCACCCTGTTTTGAAAAAACTTTTTCAATTCCTATACAATTTAATTTCGAGTTTAATCAAATGAATCGGATTGAATGGATGAGTGTTCCCGTATCTATTTTTTTTTTCAATTCCCTTTGAAGCTTGCTTTGCTTGTTTCTTGAGGTTTGGTATAATGCTGATAGAACATTGTTAACCCTAAAATTGAATAAAAAATGGGAGTAGCAGAGATAATGTTGGAGAAAGGAAATAATGTGGTTGATGATCCGCGGCGAGACGATGGTTTGTGTTGAACCCTAAGCCCAAATACACAAAGCTAGGTCGCGGAAGATTTGGAGGAAAAACAAATAAGGGATCAGGATTTCGAATAGGGGATATCTGATAAAAGAAAAAAATGGTGGTGTTTATATTAAAAACGCCACAATGGGATAAACTATTACGGCATTTATTACGAAAATGCCACTAACGGAGAAAACAATTGCAACGTTTATTACAAAAAGCCACTAAAGGAGAATACAATTGCGACGTTTATTTAAAAATGCCGCAAAATATTATATCTATTGCGGCGTTTATCTAGAAAAATGCCACAAAATATTATATCTATTGCGGCGTTTATCTAAAAACGCCACTAAAGTACGAGTCTATAGCGGCGTTTGTATAAAAACGCCACTAAAGTACTAGTCTATCGCGGCGTTTATATAAAAACGCTGCTAAAGTATGAGTTTATAGCGGCGTTTAGATTCAAAACGCCACTAAAGTATGAGTATATAGTGGCGTTTGTATAGAAACGCCACTAAAGTACTAGTATATAGCGGCGTTTGTATAGAAACGCCACTAAAGTACTAGTATATAGCGGCGTTTGTATAAAAACGCCACTAACGTACGATTCTATAACGGCGTTTGTATAAAAACACCACTAAAGTACTTACCTATAGCAGCGTTTATTGCGAAAAACGCCGCTATATATGACAATATACAACCATTTTACGGCGTTTGTTTCAAAAATGCCACTAAAGTATTACTCTTTAGCGGCATTTTTGGATACAAACGCCACAAAATGTCAGATCTATAGCGGCGTTTATGGATACAAATGTCGCTAATTACCTTTTATTTAGATAATATTAGTTGATTTTACATATTTCATTTCTAATATACATCAACTAAATTGACTGATATATGTATAAATAGTATATGGAGAAACATTAGTTGATTTTACATATTAACAACAACCATACATTTTAATTAAGACATAAGTTATGCATAAAAATAATTAGCAAAAAAATACATTACAATTTAGAAACATTAAAGTTATGCATAAACAGTCTTCACCATATTGTTCAGTAGAATTTAGTGGTGCTCATTCGTGGGGAAAGGACGTAGGAAAGCTGTTTTCCTTGTTTGACAACGTATCGTTAAGTTTTTCCTCCGTGTAAACTCTATATGGAGAAACTCTTCATCCATTTCACCAAATAAATCTCCTACCTCCAGTTCACCAAGAAGAGTCCTTGCGCGCTTTAGTGCTTTACTTGAAACAGATAACGACCTTTCACCTACAGTATGAAACTTGATTGTAGGTGGCTTGCGAACTAAATAAAAATTAAAATAAATTAAAATAGATGATATAAATGTTTACTTGGAGTTACAATAGAGGCAACTTCATCTTCATTGAGGATAGATACTGCTTTTGCAATTGAAGATTCTTTCAACGCCATAAAGTTACCAAATTCAGTTCTAAACATCGAGTATTTATCCACTCCTCTATCATCGTTCTCAATAAGCTTCGAAGATCCTATATGCATACAATCTATGAATTTGACTAAGCGTAGAAAAATAAATTATAGCGGCTGAAAGATTCATAGATTATTACCTTCAAGAAGGAGATCGACCATGGAAGGGTATGGAGCAATAGGAGTTCCTTTCGGGTCATCATCTAGTTTCGACGGCGAGACCGGACCGATATCCTCCCAATGATAATTTGATCCATCATCAGAGCAAATACGTCACTTAGACATTCCGTCGACGATAATTTCTCTTACTCAAGGCAACACCTGCTCTCTTTTTCTCAAATACGTTAGCTTTTTGGGTTTTCCCCATTTTCAGAAGACCAAAAAATGGAAAAGATCATTAATGATAAGAGGGATCAAACCGTGCAGTTGTGTTATAGTTCACCGGTGAGAGGCCTGATTTGGTCGCCGGGACATACAAACGACGACGACGGTAGGAATCGTTTGAGAGCTATTGTTGTTCCAGAGAAGAAGCTTTGAGGGAAGAAGAGTTTAATTGATTTTAGGGTTCAGGTAGGAGAAAATGAGGACTATATATTTAACATTTTACGGCGTTTATACAAAAAAAATGCCATTATTGATTACACTATTGTGGCGTTTGTTAAAAAACGCCACTATTTATTATCACTATTGCGGCGTTTTAAGAATAAATGCCACTATATGTGTAATCTATTGCGGCATTTTTGGTATAAACGCCGCTAATTTACTGATTTATTACGGCGTTTTGGCTAAAACGCCACTATATGTTAATCTATTGCGGCGTTTATAAACGCCGCTAATTTACCACTCTATTACGCCGTTTGTTAAAAAAACGCCGCAATAAACCACCCTATTGCGGCATTTTTTGTAAAAACGCCACTATATGTCAAATCTATTGCAGCGTTTTTACAACAAACGCCGCTAAAGTATCAATATTTGGCGCTACGATTGTAAACGCTGCTATATGTTTAACTTTTGTGACATTTTCTCTCCAAACGCCTCTAAAAACGCCGCTACATATCAGTTTTGCTGTAGTGACGCTTCTCCCTTGTTTTCATGGTGACCACGATGTTGACACATTCGAGAGTTTTGACAAATATAGCAGTTGTTGGTTTTGTGGACAAATATTTCAAAGATCAAATTTCTTAGATTTTATCAACTTTTTAAATATTTTTATATAATTAATATTATAACTTTTACGTCATTTGTAGACCAACATTTAACATTTCAAATAATAATAACAAAAGATATCAAATTTTACTTAAAAGGTTAACAAAGTCCTTTAAAGATCAAAATTCTTTAACCTTCTTCGGTATATATATTTATTGTTGCAACTTTTACGTCATTTATTATATCGGGCTTAACATTTTAGATAGCAATGATAAAAGTTAACAAAATCTACGTTAAAGGTTAACGATACTTTAGCAAATGTACTATCAACGATAAGAGTTTTTTAGAGGTGATTGTGGTGGTAAATACAATGAATTATTTATTAAATATTGTGTATAATATGCCAATATTCATGAATTGATATTGTCACGGTCCGCGAATTTAGGTCCGTGATTTGTGCGCATAAGCCCGCAGAAGAGGTTCTTTGCGCAAACTTGGGCTTGATAGGCCCCGGTTCTTGGAGAATGCTAGTTCCGTGAAGAAAAAGAGATAAATAAAAACATATAAGCGTCATCTTCATCAGTCGTAGCAATGTTAAATCAACCCTTAGAAAAACATAAATAAAACAATGACCAAACAACCAAAAAAATATCCCAAAAGATAGAAGAAAACATGCCATAAAGACAAATGAAAACATGTTATACATGCAGACTTATTAAAAGGAAAGAAAGATGTAATATAAAAAATAAAAGAATAATAAAAAATATCAGTGATCGACAACTAACATCAAAGTTGGTGCCACCATCGATCAACAAAGACAAAAAGAAAAAAAGAGATAAGCGACACACCAATGAAAGAAAACTAAATTTTAGAGGAAATGTGATTAATGATGGACATGTTGTTTATATGTAAAAAGATAGTGATTAATGATATTTTCATATTATGTGGAAATGAAATATATGTAAGGTATGAACTACCTATTGTACTATTATATGAAATGTTCGATAAATTGTTATCATGATAATTGTTTAACATGTGATAATTAATGGAAATGTCCATTGTTTGTACATTTAGATTCCCTGGTATATTTGACATGCCATAAATTACTAGCAGTTGCATTGAGTATATATTAGACTGACGATGGTACTATTATACTCTTAGAAATATAATACATAGTAGACTAACGATGATACCATGGTATTCCTGATTATTGGTACATTGGCAAACTGTTGATGGTATCTTGTACATTGACTGACACTAAAAGTATATTTTACTAACTGATACTGAAAGTGCATATTATTGACTTAACACCTTGCATTCTCATTTATGTACTTTGTGCTATGACATAAAAAAATCAAAAAATGTAGGTTGTAGCGGATAAAGATGAAAGTTAAATTTTCTGTTGGTTATAATTGATTTAGCATAAAATGATTTATATCTGACTTGATGATCTAAGGTATCTTCATTTTAGAAATGATTGGGGTATAAGTCTATTTTGTATATGCATAAATTATCATATGATATGCTTCATATTATTATTATGCTTTATTTATATTATTGATTATGCCTCACTAAGTGTATATTTCGTTTGTGGTGATTTCCACACGTAGGTTAAAAGCTAATATTGGAGAAAGGAGAGCTTAACATCTAACTATAAAAAAACACGCTTAAAGTATCAGTAATGACATCCATATGATTTATTTTGACAAGTTCATCCAACATGTATATGTTAATTATATTGGAATAAGTTTTACTCAGACTTAGATTTAATAAGTTATAAAGTTAGCTTGTAATGCCCCAAATCCCGGGTTAGTAATTTTGGGCTAACCTGAGAGGAATTTAACGAGCCTAATAAACTTATAGAATAGCTTAGAACAAGTTAAGAATAGATAATGGGCTTTTGTTAAGCCTAAATGGTAGAGATTGGGATCATTTTATGGTTTAAGTGAAAGATAGAAGACTAAATGAGAAATTATAACCTCCATTCAAACAATAGTTGATTTTGTTTAATGAGGATGATGTAATGTTGCTTACCCACTCCCCTTATTTCCCTCACTTTCGCCATTCCTTGTCCCATGCTTCTTCTCTTCATCTCCATCTTTTTTCTCCTTTAAGAAACATAGCAAAGGTGAAATCTTGATAGCCTTACAAGCTTAGTATAAGGTTTCTATGATAAAAATCAAAATCTACTCACCCCAAGATTTCATTCAAGATCTTAATCTCAAAGGTTTGTCACCATAAACATAGATGGAGGTTTATTAAGGGTTTAGCAAAATAAGGATTTCTAGCTTGTTTTTACTATATTTGAGTTTGGGAAACTGTTTTTAGTCTCATTTTAGTCTCATAAACAAGTTAGTAACTTATTTTCCCATATTATAATAGTGAGAGAAGTTAGATAATGTTCTAAAGCTAAGGGAAAGGGAAATTAACACTTGGTTGATTGAGGACTTTTCCTTCAGCTTGGAAATCAAGGTAACATATTTCTAACATTCATATACTATTTGTGGGTCATTTAGTAAACTTTTTGGCTTGTGTTAGTTTATGAAGCATTAGATCATATTCACGGTGGATGCTAATATATGGTGTTATTAAGCATGAAATATGACCCTTTATGTCCCTTAACATGTCACATAAAACTTAAACACCATTTGGTGGCCCATAAAGGGGGAGAATAGGTAGTATTAGTTGCTTTTTATGCCTAAAATAAGGATTTTCTAGGCAACAATATCAGTACTACATGAACAATACCAATATTGTTCTTCGAGTGGTCAAAACAATAGAGTTCTCTAGCTGCGAGTATCGATACTCATTCTAAGAGTATTGATATTGTCTCTAGGTATCAATACTTGAATGGTAGTATTGATACCAATTTAGAATTTAGGATTCCAGTATCTTATTTTGGTATCGATACTCAAGGGAGTATTGATACTAGGGTGAAGGTAATGATACCTTTAATAAAGGTATCAATAGTCAACAAATGTTTCAAACATCGAAGCCATTTTTAGTATTGATACTCAATGTAGTATTGCTACTCTTATATAGAAGTACCAATACTTTAAGGCCAATATCAATACCCTCATCTCAAATTGGATAAGAAATCTATTTCATCTTAAGCACTCTTGATTAAGGGATTAAAGGACATCTAAATTCTAAATATATAACTTCAAGCGAGAACAATGTAAATGACTATAACTACATCTAGAAACAATATAATTAAAGGAATGATAAAACTAGCCTTGTTTGATGCTTGAGAAACACTCAGGACACCCGAGTTACTCGAGTAGCTAGATAAACACTCACCTAGTAAGATTTTCAGACAAGTCTCAATTAGTGCACAAGGTACTTCTTTACCGATTGGGAGTAGATGCCCCAAGTACTCGTTTGGAGTAGGTTGGTTGAGTGAGTATTTTTGATATAGAAATTTTGGATCTCACCCTAGGCAATCTAGAGGGGTGTGTGTCTCTGAGATGTAGTAAAACCCTCCGACCACACCATGATCTTGCCTTTGTATGTATGTTTAGTTGGAATCTTTCGTATGCAAATAAGTATGTTAGCAAGCATGACCATATAATGGACACATATATTGTAGTTTGGTTATTAGTGAGGAATTGAGTTTGAGATCTCAACATTAGAAACTTGTTTATGTGCGTATGTTCTTAAGAGGAGTATTTCATGGAGCTTATCGCAGAGTAAACTTTCCAAACAGAAAACATCTTTGGAGTGCGTTTTGAGTATGTTGTAGAGATAATGTATTGTATGTGGACCTTTTGGTATTAGAGTCGTAATTTTATTTTGTAATACTCTTTAAAGTCAGTTCGGATGTATTTTGGGGGATCCCAATTTGTAAGCTTAAATACTCCTATTTTATTTTACGATTATGATGGACGTTTTCTCTAAATTCGTTTTATGATTGTTTTAAAAAGGAAAAAGGTTGGGTTAGCTACTTCAGTGGTCCTGTGTGGCGTACCAATTCCTTGGTCTTTAAATTGTAGTGGATTAAGATGTTCCATTTAATGGTATCAAAACGTCATGTTTAGTTCTTCTTAGGACCCGCCAATTAGATTCAGTAAGGGTCTATATATGTGTACATGCCCTAGAATTTTAAGAGTACTTTTATGTATGGAATAGTGATAATAACTCCTTGCTCTTGTCTAAATTTCAGAGTTATGCCATGGATGATAGTATAACCCCTAGCCATGAGGGTAGAGAGGAGGGTCGTGCCTTCTTAGTGGATGACATCGGTGATGCGTTTGATGTTCGATGAGATGTTGGGGTTGTTGAGGCGATATTCTTCAAGGATCTAACAATAGCCTTATAACATATAGTGAGAGTCATCCTTAGGACTCCAACTATACCACCTACCCCACCTTCACCGCTAGCCCCTGTAGTAGCGACTTATCAAGAGTCCCTATTCGAGAGTCTTTACAAATACCAAACGACTAACTTCTTTAGTTCTAGTCATGATGACCCTATCGCTGCAAACTAGTGGCTTAAAGAAACTCTCTACACGTCACTGACATGTTGAAGGGTGACACCATAGATTGGTACAAGACCATCGAACTGGCCATGGAGTCGGAGAGATTGACGTAGGAGCACTTTTTTTCGAGTTTCGACAGAAGTATATTAGGGAGGCTCGCACTGACGACTTGAGGGACTTTTTCCTTCATCTGATCTATGAGGATCGATCGCTGATGGAGTGCTAGAGAGAGTTTCTCTAGTTGAGTCAATATACATCGAAGTCAGTAGTATCTAAGTACCACTATTATAGGAGGTTAAGGGAAGGCCTCCATTTCAACATTCTTACCCACCTAGTTACCGAACCACCTAGGATCTTCATCGAGTTGACCTGCTAAGATAAGGAGATCGAGAAGGTTTTATTGATGATATATAGATCTTAAGTTACTACTTCAGGAAAGATTCAAAAGACAATAGAGTCATTGAGACTCACTCAGGCACCAGCCAAGAGAGTTAGAGACTCTTAGGGATCGTCGAGGACCCCAACGAAGACTGTCCTAGAGCTCAGACCGTGAGGGTAGATCAAGGCCTCGTAGGAGACCCTTGTCGATAGTGCTAGTGGCAAGTGCCAGCGGATCTGTGAAGATGTCATATCCAACCTGTCTGACTTGTAGGAAGAGACACCTCAGAGCGTGTCATTTCAGGACTATAGGGTGTTCTGGTTGTGGATCACTAGACCATTTTGTCTAGGATAACCCAGAGGCACAAAGTATGACCCTAGCACCTATCCAAATGTTAGTTTTATTAGTTCAGAAGGGTCAAAGACCCTCTAGAGGTAGAGTTTTACTTCTGGATACCACAGTGGGGGCACTGCTAGATCTATAACTGATTCAGATCCTCAAGTAATCGCCTGTCAATATGTTGTCCAAGCTTAAGAATAGTGTGATGCAATTGATATGATCTCAGGTACTTTTACTGTGTTTTCATTTCCAATTACAACATTAGTAAACCCAGAATCCACCCACTTTTATATATGTTATGATTTAGCCCAAGAAAGAAACCTTTCAGCCAAAGATTTAGAGATAGGAGTCAAAGTGTCCAGTCCTTTACGGTTGGATTTTCTGGTTGACAAGATTCACCGTTAGTGCCCAATAGAAATTCAAGGTCAAATTTTCCTTGTCGATCTAATGGAGTTGTTATTTAAAGAGTTCGATATAATCTTGGGCATGGATTGACTTTTAGAGCAAAAATGCTAGCTTAAGGTGTAAGGTTAGATAACTCAAGCTCAGAAAGGATGATGACATTAAAGTGGTGATGTTTGGCAAGATATTTGGGAGTTTAAGGATCATTTTGGCAGTAAAGGCACAAAAGATGATTGATCGAGCTGTGAAGCCTTTTTAGCTCATGTGATCGATGCTTAGATTTATGTTCCCACTATCAATAATATTCGAATAGTTTGAGCTTCTAATGATTTGTTTCCAGAAGAATTTTCGAGGTTACCGCCAAATCAAGAGTTAGAATTTGGCATTGAGGTGTTGTTAGGTTCCACACCAATGTCTATTACTTCCTACTACATGGCACTGACGAAGCTCAAAGAGTTGAAATTCCAACTCCAAGAGTTTTATTCAACCAAGCATTTCTCATTGGGGAGCGTTAATCCTTTTTGTAAAGAAGAAATATGACTCGATGAGGTTGTGTATCGAGTACCATCAGCTGAACAAGTTAACTATTAAGAACTGATATCCACTCCCTAGGATAAATAACTTCTTCGACCAACTTAAGGGGGCATGTGTGTTCTCTAAAGTAAATCCAAGGTTGGGAAACTACTAGTTGAAGGTTAAGGAGGCCGATATAGCAAAGACGATGTTTAAGACGAGATATAGTCATTATGAGTTCCTTGTGATGCTGTTTGGGCTCACCAACACCCTGATGACATTTATAGACCTAATGAATTGAGTGTTCCACTCATACTTAGACCAGGTTTTGGTGGCCTTTATAAATGACATCCTTGTGTACTCACGATTCGAGCAAGAGCATGACTGACATCCAAGTTCAGGAAATATGAGTTCTAGTTATCTGAGGTCTCATGTTTTGGTCATGTTTTGGAAGCAAATGGTATCTAGTTGATCCCTAGAAGATTCAGGTTATTTTAGAATGTGAACCGTCGAAGAATGTAATCAAAGTGCGTAGCTTTTTGGGTCCTGTCGGTTACTATCATTGATTTGTAGAAGGTTTCTTGATGATAGCTACCCGAATGACTAAACTACTTCAGAATGGAGTTCAATTTGTATGGGACAAGAAGCGATAGAAGTGCTTTGATAGTTGAAGACTATATTAACTCAAGCTATCGTTTTAACCCAACCAGAGTCAGGA